CACATTTAACTTCCCAGCACACTGGTGTAAGATGAGATGGTCCAACTTCCATAATGCTGAAAGCAAACACTAGTTTATTTTTATGTCTTTCCTAAATAATGAGCTTTTCCCTTTCATCGGCCCTGACCAGACAGGTGTTCCTTAATTTGGTCTCTAGTTTCTGTCCATTAGTTGTTCCGTGTTTTTTGAAACAGGAATCGATCATTCTAGTAGAGATCCAGTGTTTGGCTTTGGACAATCAGAATGCAATTTTTGTCATAGTGGTTTTCAGATCAGCCAGAATTTAGGCAATTATGTTAGTGGCCATGTTTTCTTAAAAAATGAAAGCGTCGATGATGAGTTTCCATCATATTAAGTCAGAGCTCTGCCCTAGTCTATTTTAAAAGGTTTAACAATACCGCTAACGATTTGACGTGGTTTGAACTGGGAAAGGTACAGGTGTCAGGATCTTGAATTTAAAAATCAGAAATAGTCGAAAGTAATAAAGATGGGAGCTTTTCAGACAGTTTCGAACAGCAAAGGTTCATGACTAAAATCCATATAGTACTGTAGCTAAAAGGACGTAAATCATTTAGAGGGCTATTTAATATTTTTTTAATGAAGTCTGACAAGATGTTAAGAACTGTTCTATGTCTTACACGATGCTTGAATACAGCCAAAGCTGAAATTGTTATCCAAAATGGAAAGAACAACTACATAATTGAAGTTTTCACTTCGGATTTCAATGCATTTTAGTTTCTTCTTATTTTGTTCCTATATTCCCTACGGAGCCTGTTTCATTTTTCTGATAAATCTCCTCAGTTTTGGATATCTAAGTAAGATGTCGCTAATCCTTGTCACAAGGCAGAAAAAATGTGCTTTTTTGTCTGTGCAGAATCGACAAACCGTGCCGAGAAATGTCCCACAGATTCAGAAACACCGCAGGTTTCTGTTACGAGGACTGCGAGCAGGAGTGTGTCAGCGGTACTTGTTTTGTTCTTAACGTTCCCAAAGTGTGACAGCTGAGGAGGAAAACAGGCATCTTTGGTTAACTTCACAGCAAACGGGAGAGCATGCCAATTCTTCTTGTGTGTCGGCTTTAGAGGGGAAAAGTGAAGAAAAGAAGCCATCATTAAAAATGGTTTTATGTTTGAGGTACCAGCGTTATATTTTAAATATTTGGAAAACCAGGAACACCTTCTATGTGGTGTTTTTTATATTACATGTATTGTGAAAATACACATCAATAAGAGTTTAACAGGATTGTTCTATTTAAGCGCTTTGTTAAATTAAAAAAAGTGTCATTTAAATCTCTTAAACTAAACATCTGCCAGCCGTGGATGGGCAGTGTGTCAGAAGTAGGTATAACTGCTCTACGGGTCGTCACTAGTGTTCAGTAAGATGAGCCTAAAAGCGCACAATTATAAGAGCACAAGTAAAAGCACAATTTATATACGAGGCTGTAGCACAGTCTTCCAAACAACCTTCGGCAGAAGAGAAAAAAACGAAGAAACAAAATATAAATGCAAATTCGAGTTGTTTAACTTCTAAATTAGAATTTGATTGATTGGTTAAAAGCTACTGATAAGCCGTGAGTAATAAAATACAGAACACGTATAATTTGCGTCTTCGGTGCGGCAGGATCACACAGCAGTCTCTCCAGGGAGTAGAATTATAATACTATTCAAGAAACAGAGGGTATTTTCCGTTAGGTTACTGTTGCATAATTAAGCAAGAATTTGCAAGTGGGAGCACAGGTCCAATTTTAAGAGAACATATAATTTCAGTGACAGACCAGCTCAGGATTAAGGAGACAGTGAATACGGTACATCACGATGCCCGCTGAGCCCTGCTGACACATCAGCGAGCGAGCAGTCACTTGGACCTGACAGTCCATGAAGAGGTTAATATGTTCAGAGCGCCGTCTGTTTGAGAGAACTGCAGCCCTCTAAGAGCTACAGTAGGTTGTATGACCCGCTGCAGAGACCACAAATTGCTTCTGTTGGCCTTCAGAGGCTCAAATCGAAAGGCAGGTCAGGAGCAAGTTGTTCAGTTGCGTTTATTTTACACCCCTTAACAGACCTGCTACTTGTAGCTATTGATTTCCTCGACATTAGATGTATAATGATACAAAGTCTCTCCTTTTGTTACAGAGGAGATGATGGGCTGGCTTCTTAACTCAGTCATCTCAACAACATTTTCAATCATTCTCTGTGCAATGCCAGAAGCAATCATTTTTTTTTAGCAACAGCAACATGATGTTTGATAGCAAAAGTAGGATATATTTAATCTGCATTAAAATCTTGTTGATTTTTTTTTCAGTTTTTTATCAAGCATGCGAACGTACACACAGTTAACGTAGGACTTCAAGGCCAATATAAATGAAAAAAACCCAAAAGTATCAAAATTGAATGCAGTGCAGTAACACTGTGTGCCTCACACACATTCTGTGAAAACTCCTTTAAAGACAAATTGAAGTTCTATTCCTTTCCATTCCTTCCTCTGCGTGACACAGTGGATGCTTGGGACAGAACATGTGTAGTTTTAATCTCCTCTATTGGAGTCCTGCTGTGAAACAGTGTTTGACTTGATTATTAGAGTGAAGCCTCAGTCTGAATGAATCATGCACATTATCACAATCAAAATAATTGAAACAGCTAAAGAAGAAGCCAATTTCAATATTTCCTCTAAAGTGACTAACTTTAATTGCACCAGCAACTTTGCATGTTTCCCACTGGCTGACCTGAAGGGATTCTTATTTTGTGAAATTAGCTGCACTTTAACAATTTAACTGCACAGCTCTGTGGAATAGTGATGTTAAATACCTGCTCTGCCCTCCTCTGTAGTAATGCAAAATTGACACATACAATGTGTATATAAACAGACAAAATATATAGAACTGGAAATACAAGCAGCGAGTTTATTGATCATACTCACGTTAAGTGACAGATTCTGAGTATTAAAAGCCCAACAGTGGAAGATCATCTGAGTTGTGCTCTTCTTAATAACATGTGAGAATATAAGACAGTTTGCAAAGAACAGGAGGACATTTTGCCCAACTGGCTTATTTGGCTAATATATGGATGGATAGTTTTGGGCTTGGTTGTCGTGCTCTGTCTGGAATCTGATTGATTATGACAGGCCAGACTGTTTCTATCCATCCACTCAGTCTTGGTACGGGTGATGACTACCCAGAGTCTATACTAGAAGCATAAGGCATAAGACGAGATTTCAGCCTGTCACCACACAGACAGTACCTAAGTCCGGGATCAAACCCAGGACACACAAAATGTTTGCCCATTGACCCTCCAGTTTCTTACCTGGATTGTAAAAGTTGCGATGTGTGATTCTCAATGGCTGCAAAAATCCTAATGTGCATCCTGCTACTGTAGATGCAGTTTCATCTCCAGCCAATAAGCAGATAAATTAAATTATATTTACTCACCTGCAGATTAACCTGTTGCTCTGTATTGCTCTGTACCAGCATTAGAGGCAGCTGTGACTGCAAACTGTTTTTAGTTCTGTAAAAAAAACGAAAAAACGCTTTACAGCCTCTCAGTTGTTCTTGGTAGTATACATTTTAACATTAAATAAGAAAACAACATTGTTACACTGATTAAGCTGCATAATGATGGACTCTGTGAAAAGTGGTTTTAGGAGTACTTTTAACCCAATTTTCTTTTTTATGGAACACTAAACAGCATAGGAAGAGAATAAGTATATATATATATCTCTTAGAGTTTATGAAGCAGTTCATAAAACCTATGGGCACAGTGGTGGAAAATACTTCACAAACAGTTTTCTGTAAACCTCTTAGTAAAACACAAGATTAGACCTAATGCAAATGTATCTATTTTAGCCTTCATCAGTGCTAAATGTTGATCTCCAATATTTTAATACATCATTCTTTCTAATAATAAACCATGGGTCTTTTCCCATATTCCATGAAAATTCACTTTTTTCTGCAACGTTAGTGTAGTGCAGCAGGCAGTGGTGTCATGGAGAGCTGTTAGTCAGAGCCTTGGTGAAGCCTCATCTAATACAGCTCTGAATTCCCATCACATTTGCTTAATAACCAGAGCGCTGATGTGGCCTTCGTGACCACAAAACGTTGTCAAAAAGTTGTAATCTACATATTGACGTTTACACCATACTTCACTGCTACGATGAGCACCCAAGAACAAAACACGTGACCTGCTGTGTAATTAATCTGTGACACACCACAGTCTCCTTGTATTGCAGACATTCTGTTAACTTCTTTAAAGTGTATTTCAGCGTACAATACATCTTCTTTTTCTAGCAAATTATTTACATTTTTTAACTGTGCTTTGGTTATCAGTCTTTACTAAACCCTAGAAAACTATTTTTTAATCCCAGAAAGTTTACTTTTAATACACCAGGCATTAAGTGTAAACCAAGATTGTATTAATCTTAGCATACTTTTGATTTGTTGCACTTAAAATTCGATAAAAATTACAACTGCTACCTAATTAATCAGATACATCTGATCATTATACTTAACTTTATCATGTACAGCACACAGCTGCAATAAGAAGCAAACATCTGTCTTCTCCTCAAGAGGACTTAAATTAGTTTTTGGACTTGTTAATCAGGTAATTCTACAAAGTGATCTCTACAACTGGAATTCATCCTGTTCTACTATGATTGCAAGTTTAGCTTTGTTCTTAAGAAATTCCTAAAAAAGTATTTATTTTCTGAAAAGCATTCCCATATAATCTTTTAGGGTCTGCAACACAAACTTGTCTTGGGCTCCATATCAAGTGGGCACATTTCTTGTGATGACCTCCTCACCCCCACCAGTTTCCATAAAGTACTGTATTTTTTGGGGTTAAACAGAACAATCTGGTTCAGAAACATGCAAGCAGTGTTTTTATTTTTGAGGAACTCCAGAACGATCAACTTTCTGTGGGATGGACAAGTGCCGGACCAGACCAGAATCACTGTAGACTCAGAAGCAGGTCAAAGACATTCCAGCCAAAAAAAAGACACACTTTTTACACTGAAAGACAAACATCTTAACCATGCTTTATTATTTCTGATGCAATAATAAATAGATAAATAGAATAATTAACAGACTGAGAAGAGTCCACAGAAATACCCTCTATAGACAATTGCGGATGGTATTTACAGTGTGGGTCAGTAAACAGTTCATGTCAGGGATGCCGGGCGAGAACGGGGGTGGTTGGGACTGTTAGCAGGAAGTGAAGGTTTTCCAGAAGAAGTTTTTACACGGGGCTTTGCGGTCGCGCTGCGGCAGCTGTGACAGGCGGTTATAGACGGCTCTCTCCTCCAGCCTGGACTCCAGAGGCTCCTCCAGGTCCACTGACGCCACGTCTCCCGCCAGCATTGCACTGTCGGCTCCGTCCAACAAGCCAGAAATCAGTTTGAGAATCAGCTCTTTGCGATCTTTGCTCAGCTCCTGCAGAAACAGACCAGTTCGCCTGTGAGTACGAGGTGAAAACCAGCTTCGGTTTCGTTAATATGTAACGCTAATGCATCGTAGAAAGACAAGCCTATTAAAATACTTCAGTTCTAAAGCTCTAACTTGTCATTCTGGCTCTCCTGAGCAGCAGCAATCACTGACTGACGTCTAATTGTAAAGTACGCTGAACGCCAGTATTTCTCAGCATCTGTTTTAGGATTATTTAAGCAGCTTCAACTTCGCTTCAAACTGTACTGTACATAATCGCTATCAGGCAAATTAATATAAACGCGGGTAATTAGCGATGAATGGCAGAGTAAATGCACCAAGAAATGCCATTTCATATGTTGTCAAGACAAAAGATGCAAAATCATAGTCTCCATAATAACAAAAAACAAACATTTCAAGCATTTTTTCACATTTGTCACTCAGTATTGCATATAAGCATCTAATTCACTGAAATTAATAGGAAATATCCATTAGAAATATTTTGACCAAAATAAATGTTATAATTTAAATATTTTGTAATGCAGCTAGTTAATTGATTTTATCATAAAGGTGTACCGTAGATGACCATTTGATGGCAAGATAACTGTTGCTTCTTTGTTCCTGAATACCTTATTTTTTCATTTAATTTTCCCCCCAAATTGAAATAAAATATTCTACAAACAACTGCCATCACTTTTTAATGTTCAGTCATCTAACTTTTATTACCAATTAGAATAATCTTACTTTCATTTTTACAGTAATAAAATAATAATAATGATTTTATTTTTAATGTTTTCATTCTTAATTTATTTTCAAATTGAAGTTTCGGCATTCTGGCTCCATCTTAAGGAGGCTTCTTAAAAAAATAATTTAAACAAGTTACTTTATACTGCGATATTTTAATAAAATAAATAAAATGAATTTTATTACTTCATAATTAAATATATAAAGTAACATTTTAGCTATTAAAAAGTCCCAGAATATAATCTCTTTATTTTATGTTTCAGTTTTCGTTGTCAAGGTTGCTTGATCTTTTTGCTCTTAAATAAAAGGAGCTTATCAATTAATTTTGAAAACAGGTTGCAATTCATTTTTTCAATCTAGTCATTCTTGAGTCATCTAACACTTAAGCGTTTCCTGTTCCTTACAAATAGCAATATATATTATCCAGTAATTCCTTCCCCTTATCAGTAATTATTTAATGGGATTTTCCACTTTCTTACTCAGGTCACTTCCTTCTGCAAATCTGCTGCACAAATGGAACACAAATGTTCTCTTAGCCATGCATATATTTGCTCAGCTTCTCTTAGACATGCATTTACAGTATATTGGATACATTTAAAGGAATGCCCTGATGAACAGAAGAAAACATCCAAGTGAAATCTTCCAAAAAAAGGGACTTTTAGCCATTTTCAAATAGATTTAAAAGCAGCACATCCTGGTCTTGAACCAGATTCTGCTCCGAGCGCTGCCCAGTGCCCTGTCCGGATACACCAGTGCTGCCTCCTACCCCCGCAGAGACCTGCTCACCTTAGTGTGTAGTGTGGCTCTCTCCTCACCAGGCAGGACGGCGGCTGCTCTCACACTGTACACCACTAGCATTAGCGACGCCAGGCTAGCAAGGAGCTGCATGCTGAGAGGTGTGTGTAGGAGGAGGTACGAGGCTGAGCGCTGGAGACTCGAGGTGCTTCTGCGGTCTCTCGGATTCAGGGATTTCCTCTTGCTGCCGTTCAGAGGCTCCGGCTCCTTTTATACCCCTTGCCGAGGCAGTTAGTGACGCAGTTGTTGGGGCGCGGGGGTGGGGGGGACAAAATTAAGTGTGGATCAGACACAGACGACACTCGCGGAAACGATTAACCCCTCCACTACCTGACCTCACTTTGCTGGTGTGTTTAGTCATCTATCTCATTTTCGGCTCAAGACACCTGTTCCTCGCAAGGCTGAAAAGGACGACTTGTGGGATTTTCTTTTCCCACTGGCACACACTGTTACAGGTACAGGCATTAACAGAGCCACTTTCCCAGGGAGACAAGAAGAAAATCTCTGACGATTTGGAGAACGCCATTTTATTGCAAGATCACTTTCTGAAAAATCATGCACACAACACAGCCGTCTCCGTATTCCTGCTCTGAAAGACCCAGCACGCCCTGCCAGAGCCGGTCAAACAAAATGACGATTCTGCATCAGCTAGGAGAAGAAAAACAAACTGGACTATGTTTAAAGCAAAATAAAACCTTTCTCAATGCACCCGAAATTTCACAAAGTTTTTGTCCTTGTAAAGTCAAGTGAGACTTGACTGTGAGATCTGAGATGGAGCAAGAGGAAACACAAAGGTGCTCATTAGCAAGTTAATAGAGCACCCCAAGGTTTTGCGTAGTACACTATACAAAAGTTTACAGTGGATTTTTAATTTTCAATGTGGGATGAGTAATGTCATGTGTTCACTAAGAGGAGATCACCAAGCTGTCTTTCACTTTGAGTAACACCTCAGGCCAAATTTCGTGAATCCGGCCCCCTTTACATTTCCAATGTAAACATTCTTTCCAAACCTGATGTCAGAGCTCATTCCTGCACATTTTCTAAAGACACCTTTTTCATATTTGAATGCAAATATTTAAATGGGCAAAAATAAATGGCTGGCTGGGCATCATCCTGACAAGGTCACTCAAGGATAAAGTTCTACATCCAAATGATGAAAGGATCACCAGTGGATAAACACCCGAATGCATATTGCAGCCAGTCGGTTTTAAGGGATGTATTATACCTTTTTTGTCAGAACTCGGAACATTGTTCTCTGAATTGCCAACATACGCAGTGCGTTTCTCAGCAGAGGCTGCTGTTCGGCGATATGTGCTTTTTGGCACAGCTGCCCCTAGCAGGATATCGAACCGTCTGACACCTCAAGTGGCAGAGAGCAACATCTCCTCGGTTTTCAGAGACAGAAAACAGCCTTGAGGGTTTCCTAGGAAGAAAAAACACAAAAGACAAAAGGATAAAAACCCTATCTTTTACCGACTTTCAGCTGATAAAAACAACAGCCTGATATTAAGGCTGGTGCTGTGTTGTTCCTGTACTCATTATTCCTCTTATTTATCAGAGGAATTCAAGAATAATGGCACTAAAGGAGACAGTGGGCGCTGAGACAAGCAAACCAGTGAATTAGCTTAAAACTCAATTATCTGCATCAGTGGCAACGCTAGAAAAAACAAGAAATTAAATAATCATGGCTAAGTCATTGTGAAAATGAGACAAGGTAATACTTTCTATCACGATATGAGAACAAAGCACTTGTCCTGCTCCACTATGGTTTTGATAAAAACTGCAACGTGTACAATCCTCTTACTTCACTGATTTCACCACATGAGCAGGAAAGGCCTGGTGCCATTTTAAAAATGGACACTTTCATTTACTGTAACCAGAGTGTAAACACAGGAGGGACAGTGAATTTCCTTGCAGGATCTCTAACACTGACCCCACATTCTTTCTTAACCCATCCAAAGACACACCTCACAGAACCTTTGGATCGTGTGAAGCTAACTTTCTGTGTGTGAGAGGGTTGGGAGGACAACATGGAGACTCTATTCTGAACTACATTCTCCAGACAGCTGTGGGGAGTATCCTGCTGCCCTCACTCAGCTGACCACATGGAAAGCTGTGTAGAATGACTAGCTGTCCTCAGTCACCTGACCAGTGCAGTTTGGACAAGAGTTTTCGTTTCATCTGAACCTACCGTCCTCTCACATTTATCCCACTCACTTTCAAGATACCCTAGCACTTTCTGTTCTTCCAGTTCCAGTTCTTCTAGTCCTGTATTATTATGGCTGACACCCTGGCTCCTTTCAAGAAAAGTATGGATGAAATCAACTCACTGCTGGCTAGCACATTGTCTAGAAAGGCTGGATGTCCTCCTGTTGCTTCCAAACCTCTCTTATGTTCTGACGTCTCAACAACGTGAACGTTTTTTGGGGAGAGACAGCTATTAATGTTATTTTCTGTGTTATGCTCTGTAATGTGGTGTTATATACAATAAAAATATGCAATAATTGTTAAAAATAATTAAAAAAACACACCAGTTAATTCTAAAATGAGTGCCTCACTGAATTTATGTGCATTGTCACTTTTTCAGCTCAAAAATGTTTTTTGCCATTGTGTTGATGGGACATCAATCAATGCTCAGCAATGACATTTATTTTGTTAAATAAATGAAGTACTGTAAATGCGCTGTTCTTTCTTACCATAGTAATACATAAAACATTAATGATGTAGCATTTTCACTTAATGCATTTTACTAACCATCCTGCCATTTGTAATTGATGAATATAACAGTTTACACTATCTTCTTCACAATACTACTTTAAACAAGATAGCCAGAGCAATTTCTTGAGGTTTCATATGAAAATCATGCTTCAGGCTTCCACGGAACTACTGCATCATATCTTGGCAAAAAAAACTTTAATCTTAAAATCCTTAATTCCTTCTTGTCTTTGGGGTAAAAAACCCACAAACATGACATCGTCATTAGGCTCAGCCACCCTGGAGAAACTGTTTTGGCAACAGCACCGCTTGTCACACTGAAGGAATATAAATGAACGATCCCAAACAAAACCCCTTTTCAGAATTTGTTTTCCTCCTATTACTTGATAAAAAAATGAAACGAACTTCAAATGGCTGCAGGATCGCTATCAAGCCCGCTCTAGTGCATGTAATGAGACGGAGGTTCACTCTCGCCCTGTGGACATCGAAATATTAATTCGGGAGCTGTGCCGTGAAAGCCCCCATTCCCTCAGAGGAGATCCGAGACAGAGGACGTTTGAAGATTTCAAGGCAATTGACCCCGATGTCAAAAATAAATTGCATTGCCAATGCCTGACTTCAAACACCGGCGCGAACATCAGCAGGCACCCTCACATGCCGCCTCGTCGGGTTTTCCCCTGTCCACGCAGTATGTGCATTTTTTTGCGAGTCAACACTCCAGCTCTGAAATCCGCAGATTAAGCTCTGCAGCGGATCGTTTTGCCTCGAGTGCTAATTTGAGTGGGATGCTCCACACAGGAGTTTGTGCAGCCCTGCTGCGCCCTGTGGCACTAAAACATCCTGGTGGTCCCTATGCATGGATTTAGGTGCCTAAAACCCAACTCTGCTTTAAAGATGTTAGAACAAAAGCTCGCAGAAAATTGAGAAAAAGTAGTTTGCAATCTGCTTGAGTCATTCATCTTAAAGCTAATAAAAAATAAGACAGCTTTAAGCAACTTTCTTTACATTCAGAGATCTTCCAAGAAGCATAAGGCACAACTCTTCTACAAAACACGTACTCTAAAATCAGGCAACTGATCTTAAACAGGAAGGAATAAACAAAACAATAAAAATAAGCTATAGGGCATCCAATTATAATGCAGTGCAATAAAAAAAAACATTTACCTATCAAGAAAACTCATTTTACTTCATGAAATCACAAAATGCAATTGTTTACTTAGCTGTAATATAAACTAAATTAAAGGAAAAGATTCTTCTGAATCATCACATAGGCGCCCTACTTAATTAAGTGGAGATGAGGAGATGATGTTCTCTATTAAGAAGTATTGTGAGTATTTCGTAGAAAGTTAGAAGAGCTCTAAAGGGGAAATTTAAGGGTGACCACCGGGGAAGCAGTGGCACTTCTGTCAGGGAAGAGTGTGAAGTGTGTGATTGGTACCAATTACCCTGAAGGCCAGCTGTGTTTTCGGCACAATACTTTCCCACCTCGGCTGTCACACATACATGACCACAGGACAGTTTCACGTGTAACTGCACCAACCGACAAACAATTCTCATTTAACTCACGGCCGAAAAGACAGAACTGTGGATCCTGTCTTAAACTATGGACTACAGTTACCGTTGTCTGCCTTTGGCAACCACACTATTTCACCGATTCCAGCTCGGACTTGCTTCAGCACCCTGAATAACCCCCTTAACATAGGAAATGTCATAGCACTGGCTTCTGGGGAAACTGGTCCTGGCGTGAGTGTTTGCCCTATAATGGACTGGCCGACTGCTTGACGAGATTGGTTCTGGCTGCCCTGCAACTGCGTATAGGATGAAACGGTTAGAAGACGGATGGATCTTGTACCACCGCCTTCAGGAAAACCGAACTATATTATGAGATAAAAAGAAAACTCAAGTAACAAGCTGTTATACCCCACTTGCAGCATTAGTGGAATGCAGGCAAACGAACTGGACCCTGGATGAAGCAGCAGCAATGCCTGCGAGAGACGTGGTGACGCGACAGTCGCTGCTGCCTCAGAACTCGGGGGTTCTGGCTTGGATTCCAGGCCGGGCCACCTGCTGTGCGGAGCCTGCATGTTCCCACTATTTTTGCATGGTTTTCTCCGAATACTCTCGTCTCCCCTCTCCCCCCCAGAGACATGCTCTGGAGGTTAAATCTCTAAATTGTCCCTGTTGTGTTTGCTCATATATACGTGTCCTGTGGGTGTCGCCCAACCTTGGGCCTGTGCTTTCTAGAGGCTCCGTTTCTTTATCCTCACCAGGAATAAGGAGCGTCCTGATCAGGGACGAATTGACTCCTCTCCTAACAGCAATGCAAACGTGAAGTGCGCCATCTGGTGTTCACTTACATTATTCCCTGGCTTTAGACCACTACACTCCAAAAACCACTTTCGTTTTGGAATGATATTTATTTTCCTCCAAACGGCCCATTTCACTGTGCACAAAACTTCTTTGTGAGTAAATCCTTGTGACAATATATATGTGGATCTTGAAAAACCTATCTGGTGGGACATGCCAAGAAATGTTTAAGAATGTGAGCTGAAGTGTCTTGAAGGAGTTTTTTTCCCCCCATGCAAGAGCAGTCCCCCTTTGGACCCATGAAGGATTTCAACAGGATACAGCTTGGGACTGGGAAATCCCCCGACCAGCAAAGTACAAACTGCTGACCTGACAGCACCAACTTATCACCCTTTTCAATTCACCCCCAAGATATTTAATAAGTGGCGGCACAGCAGTGCTGGGGTCCTGGGTTCAATTCCAGACCTGGGATGCTATCTGGAGTTTGTATGTTCCCCCTGTGCTTGTATGGATTTCCTCCAACAGTCCGAAGACATATTGGTAGGTTAATTAGCTTCTGGGAAATGGGTCCTGGTGCGAGTGTGAGTGTGTCTGTGCTCCCTGCTATGGACTGGAGTCCTGTCCAGCTTGTGCCCTGCCTTGCACCTGTTGTTTGCAGAGATCGGCTCTGGCCTCCCAGTGACCTTGAACTGAAAATGGACTGATGGATATGAAATAAGTCTACAGTTAAAATTTAACACTGCAACATAGGTGGCAGGCTTGATATGTTGTAGCTCTGAATTGGACAGGGTCTCTGAGCTCAAACACTTCATATTCAGCTCATGAGGTTTATGCTCGAGCTCCATACTTTAGTTCCCTGCAGTTCCCCCCCCCAAACGCAACCCTACCCTAAACCTGGACACGAACGACATCACTATTACAGGGCACCTCCCAAAAAGTCCATAACCACCCTGCTCAGCTCCTTGTAAAGTCTCAGCTACCTCATACAACAGCTCTTGCATACACACAGTAAGAAAGGATACGACCAGGAGGAGACCATTGAGCCTAGGTAACGCATTTGACTGCTGATGGTAGTTGTATCGAGAATCTCATCTGCTGTTTCGTGAAGGAAGCCAGAGTATCAGCTGATGGTAGCTTTATTCCAGAGGCTCTTGTCTATGGCTCGAACCCGTGACTCACAGGGCCGGAAACTCAATCGGCTCACTCTGGGCAAGTGCCTTTGCTAGATGAGCCACTCTGGAGATCCCCCCACAACCCTCTGAACACGTTCACCCCAATAAGGAGTCAGAGGCACAGAAATTATCCCTGCAACTCTAACAGAGCAGCAGGCCACCCAGCTTGTGCAGAACAAAACGCATGAAAGTCACAGATATAATTAGCGTATTGGTTTTAATTTGAAAACAATTACAGGTTATTACAACGGAGTGAGTTGAAGAAGATGAAGAGAAGTCGGAAAGATGACAGAAGACCCCTTTCAATAACTGCAATTTAAAGGCTGTTTTAGTCCCAGTTCTGCACGAACGTTAGCTGTTAAAAGATTAACAAAAAAAACTTTAAGCACTGCCATGAAGTGAACGATCCAGGATTTGGGGAAAACAGTTCCATGCGACACTTCCACATTTCAGCCATGTTTGGGCTATTCCAAAATCAGGGGAGCATCATTAACTAACTCCTGAAAGAACACAATTCCTTTTGGACTTTACATTTTCCCCACAGAGCAAGAGAAGGGGTGAAAAGCACATACTTCATGAAGGTAAACATGATGCACCATGATGAATCCTTTTAGTTGAGTTTTCTCCTTAAACCCGTCTTGACAATGGCCCCGCTTGGACTCCAATCACCACATGTACGCTTCAGGTGAGAAAGTGATCCCAGAACTCACTGAAACAATAACTCCCTTGGCTCAGAGGTAAAGAGGTAAGAGTCATGCACACATGACACCAAGAATCAGAACCACATAGTATCCCATGATTCCATAGTCAGACAACACTGGCATTCAATGCAACATTATTGTAAATTGGCAAAACGCCACAGATTCCACGTACTGCGGTCGGAAAGCCACAACTCCAAGCCTCCTGAAAACACTATAAAGAAATAACATGAGACAATTACAAAATCAGAAAAATAAAACCAAGGTAATCCAGTACTCATTAACGCTGGCTTGAGCTCTTTGATGAAGATGCATATTACTTATCACTGAGAAAACAAAAATGATACAAAATACTAAGACTCCTGAAATGCACAGAATGTACTGTTTGGAAAGCACAGCCTTCCATGGGGGTACTGTCCTTGTTCTCTGCCCTGTACCCACCCCCTCCTCCTCCCCCAGCTGTCCTCCAATGAATACCATTCACTGGGCAGGAAAGGTCCGAGTGCCAGAGCGCAAGAGAGGTTCAAGTAGCTGTGAAGAGGTGTTTTCGTTCGGTCAGCACTGAAGGCCATGTTAGCAACAAAGCGGGTTATCCCGAAAGCCTTATGCTTCACTTAGTACCTGTAGCAGGAAACAGGACAAGAGATGATGCACATTAGGGCCTGATGGGCACAGCTGCAACACTACGGCTATGAATACCGCAAACCATGGTGCTCTGTGGGAGACGTGCCCCACAGCTGTGATGTTAAAGGAGGCGTTTTGAAAAACCGAGATGTGCAGAAACTGCAGCATTTTCAAAAAGTGCATTTGAAACAGAACCGAAAGAGGTGCCCCCTGTTCTTTCTGAAAAGGGTGGTGGGAGTGTGGCCGCGTTGTTGGAGCCGACGCCCCTGCTTCCCTGGCGAAAAAGCTGGATGAGATCCCGGGATCAATGCGCTGCTCACTACCGGAATGGGCTAGATGGGCCAAACAGCCTCCTCCCGTTCGTGACAGAGAGGGGAAGAAAAAGGTCCCCTTAAACTAGCTCTGAGGTCTGCGTTCTTCATTCCCACTGCTCTCATGTTGAGCTGTTCGGAGAAACCCAATATGTGTGCAGCTGTGGGCCTGTGAGTAATGCTTTCGCCACTTTCTTCATTATACCACACAAGGAAACACTGCAAGTCACAATAATGATGCTCACAATACACGAGAGGACTTACAAATGAGAGGAGGCAATTGAGCCCATCTATCACGTACAGTTCCAAGGAGATAAACGGTCTCAAGATAACATCCAGGCAGTTTTTGAAAGAATCCAAGTTACTGGCTTGGACATCATGGCAGGGTAGATGGTTGCATCCTCCCACAACCCACTGTGTAAAGAAAGGTGCCCTGTTCTCCTTAGACTGATGTCCTATTAACAATGCAGCATCTCATCCACCCAGAATGTGTCCTTCAAGGATCACAGTGGGAAAGCAGCAGCTGAGCTGAAAGGTCTTGTGTAGGAGAACCCCAAATGCACCCAATGGCATCAGATCTGGTGGACCTTTGCTTGACATTTAATATTTCTCTTTGTTTTTATAGAACCCTTCCCCCCCCAAATAATTACCTTCCTGGCAAATTCGGGAAGAACAAATGCCGCTCTGTGGATTTCAGGATTGTAATATTTGAGGTTCATACTGTCCACCTCTTCCCTTGAAAGTTTCCTCACTGGCTCGCGAAAGTTTGTGTCCTGCAAGCATACAAAATTGATAGACGTTCGGTAAAATGAACACAAACACGATCGGCAAGCAGTTAGTTACCACTATGTAAAACTCAATGGGCTTTTGAATGCCTCAATTCAGACAGTTTCCTATTAAAATGTGTCTATGTAGTCTATCAAAAAAAGCAAAATTCCATACAGTTAGGACAGAAAGTGAAAGATATGGTACGCATTGTCGACATCTTCCCATGCTTGTTCAAAAGGAACAGTTTTAAGAGCACATATACTTTTAACATATACGACAGGGGACCAGACATAAAAATTCATTTTAGTACCGGACGAAAACTGATGATGGAAGAAATCCAGTAAGGGGGATTGTAAAAACAGGAGTTCAAACATGGCTCTCCCACTCAGCAGCTATGTTTACCTGTTGAATTTATTAGGCTTTCTGGACAAATAAAAGGAAGCACAACGGGCAGCTGATTAGCAGCATGTAACTTACAGAGTTCTTACTGCACAGCATGAATCCGATCTGCCCGCTGGGGTAGGTGGGGATCATACAGTAAGCATAGTCCACTACAGGAAACAGGGACTTGCAGAAGGTCCTCATCTCTTTTATCAGCTCCAGGTGCAGCCACTGGCATTCTCCTGCAGAATGGACACAACAGACCAGAAATGGTCACAGGGCAAGCCAACACACAGCAAAGCTGCAGAATCACCTGAGCAGAGCTGCCCCAACCAAGCAAACCTCTTTCGACTTAGCACAAAAAAAAGAATAGTTCCTGCAAAGAGAAAGGAAGACAGGACACCAAAGTAGACAGGTCTCTTTGACAGGCACGTGATTATCTATTAAATGTGCTGGACATAAGACAAACAAAGTACATGCTCACTGAGGGTTACTGCTTTATCCAAGATTTCTGCTATTTAAAGATGGAAAGCAACAGAGAAAAAAACAGTAGCGGGAAAAGGTTAAGATTAAGTGGCTAATAATTTGTAAAACTATAAACAACAAAAAACAAAGTCAATGGCACTTAAGGACATGCATACTCATTTTGATTAATAATGGCTTTTCAGTACTGATCCAGAAACATCTTGTTAATTTCACCTTGGCAACAGAGAATCCCGCCCTCCCGCAACGCTGTCTTCATTAGCTGGTAATAAGACTCCTTGAACAAGCTTTCAGCTGGACCTGCAACAGAAATAATGATTCAGAAACTCTGCCCTGCAGAGACTGTTTGCAATAATAAGCTGTGCACAAACAGGATGAGCTAAATGCACCCCCACGCTTTTTTCTGAACAGCCCAAAATGTCATCTTGAAAACATGGATCCCTCCATGCACAGAAAAATATTTTCACTTTTTGGGAACAAAGCAGAATAAAACCCAGTGTGGTTGTCCATGTGCATACGAGCATCAGAAAATGACCACAGAAATGTTTTAAGGGAGTTCTCAGCAGCCACTGATGTACACATTTAAACCACAGACTGAAACATACTGGAAAAGTTTTCAAGTGCTAAAATGAAGATAACAGAAACCATTTGAAACATCTTTCTTACCCACAGGATCAGAGGAATCGGTGATGATAACATCGAAAGCATCTTGGTTCTGTTTCATGAACTCAAACCCATCTCCTACGTTCAGTGTGAGTTTTGGACTGAAAAAGCCCTTTGCCATGCCAGGAAGGTACTTCTTAGACACATTGATAACATCCTAAAATAAGAAAAAAAGGCAGGCAGTTAGTAACAGAAGCAAAAACAAATGGAAAAGTGGCTCAAATCTAACAGAGGATTCCGATTTTCAGTGGGGTGATTTGTCACCTGCATGCCCTTCTTTCAACAAATATTTTGAATCGAGATGCATGTCGAGATCGCTCATGCTAAAGTATTACATAGAATTAAATTAAAAGACTGAAGATAAAAATCCTGATATACAAAAAGTAGTTGCATACAAATTAATTTACATTTTAAGATGGAAGGGGAAGTGTGTTGTCTTTGAGCTACTGCACAACAGCCTACTCAGGGTTAGGCCACTTGGTTTAGTTGTGTCTCTTTGGAGGACAAACAGAAAAGGGAAGAAAATAAATATGATGGAAGCTGTGTTAGTTAAGGGGGGAGGGTACGACCTCAACAGGTTCAGGGAAGAGCCTCAAAGCAGGCCTGGAGAAAGTGGTACAAGGTTAGGTGTTCCACCAGCTAATCCCAATAATTAGCCATCTGCTAAGGTTAATTTGGGTCATGTGTGTGTGTTGCCTTTAGGACACATTCCACTTCTTTCCAATACACACACATTTCTGTAATGGAAAGGTGAAACATCCTTCAGTACTAAAAAAAAAACTGATCTCATTAAAAAGAAGCTCTGCATACACCCCTCCAAGGAATTCAGGAAATGCAAAACGCAGAAATCAGAATCTGTGCACAGAGCCGTATCAGTAAGATTAAATTCAGCCCAAATGAGATGTCTTGGCAATAATTCACGCAGAAGTACACCCTCCGGCTATAATGCCACAGATAATGTGTCAGGACTGCAAGAAGAGCAAAAACGGATCGAACAGGATGTGGCATGTACTTCCCAGGCCTCTGAAACATGGACAGCCTGGCATCCCTCTAATCAAGCAAGGATAGCCTTGAGCTGAGCTCTTAGCGACACCTACTGGTGAGACACTGAACTGCCACCATGATTGGGGTCCTGGGGCTGTTCTACCCAGGAAATGAGTTGAAAGGTTGTTTCATGCTCCTCGCATTAACAGAACAAAGCTGCTGCCACAGCAGTCAATCTATTTGACTGTGGAGTCCCTAATGTTTCGTCCAATATCAATTTATGACGACAGTGAAAGGGAGCAAAGTAAATCCCAGTAATAAATCAGTTTTGCCGATTCATCAGAGCACATTCCTCCCGCCTACCTCATCGATCTCGCACTGCACCACGGACTCCACCAGGGGGTGCTTCACCACCTCCCGCAGGACCCCGCCGTCGCCTCCGCCGATGATCAGCACCTGGAACGAGAGCGGCACCAGAGCCGGTGGGCTCCTGTGAGAAGAGTGCACACAGAGCCATGCAGCACCAGCCCCGCCGGCGTCATTCTACACTCCCGGGTCAGGGTCAGGGTCAGGCCCCTTGCATGGGTGATGAGTCACATGAAATCGAGCTTCTCCTCCGCCCAGCACTCCCAGATTGAAGCACTGGTCAGAAATCACACTCGATGAAAGCGCCACCATGGCACCACTAACAACCATCAATAGAATAAAAAAAAATGCGCGTGTAGTAGTTCAGGTGGGGGGCTGCGTCAGCATGCGTAGGCTGCAAAGGAACAAGTAACAGGTTTATTCCCTGCTGAAAAAAAAGAAGAAAGAGAACACAACGTTTCGGCCGTGGAGCCTTCTTCAGGTGTGCTCTAATTTTCCCAAGTGAGTAGACAGGGGGATGCATTCCAGTATAGATCTGGATTGCAAACACTGCCAAAGCTGTTTCAGAATGCATCTTCTTAACTGCCTGAAATATGAGGGCGACGTTTGTCACAGACGTTTATGCCACAAAAACTCCCAGGGGGCCACCTGCTCGCCAATGTACGAGCGGCCTTCCCATAATCCACTCTGGGACAGGCAAGCGCAGGGAAGGAAAGGGCTCCAGCTGCCGAGGGGAAGCCAGGAGGTAAAATCGAAGACCTATTTTTCCATCTGCGGTTTTCACAGCTGTGCGTCTTTGGAATGGTGTTTGACGCACTTGTTTCTGATGTCGTCGTACACCACTGTACCATCGCAGGCCGAGCAAGCTCAGGCTCCTATGCAGAAAGACGTGCGCCACCTGTTGTCTGATGTAAGTACAGGCACTAAAGGCACTGAAATCTTGGTGGAACACAAGCACAGACACACCTAGATGTGTTTGATTTAATCCAGGGGTAAATTTCAAAGATAACTGTACCTTTTTAGGATTGGGGTGGCAGCACAGAGGTAGATTGGCAATCATTTCCTGGTAGGAAAATTCATCCCGTTCGGTACACTGGATAACACCATCCAAAACCAGGACATTGCCATATGTTTTGCTGTAGAGAAGGAAAGAACAAAAAATAAACCCACTTGTCAGCAAATTAAACGTTTACATCAATGTGCATTTAACACCAGAACACTGTGAAATCAGGCGACAGAACTACCAAGAGCAAAAAAAAGTCCAAGTCTGCATTCATTGGGCATTAAACCAAACTGCGATGATGCTGTGAAGCCATGTTAGGGTTTATAAGGTGCGGTAGAGCCTAACCAAAAGCAGACAAAGCAAAATATATAACATTGTTTTCTCTTCTTACCAGCCTCTGCAGAATTTACTCAAAAAAGCAAAGCAAGCTTTGTCCAGGCACTGCAGGGTCTGTACTTAAGGCAATGGCCTGCCAGCCTGGAAATGGATCAATCTTCTGTGCAATTTGATCCTTCTAGGGATCCCTGCTATTGCCTTATTTGTGGTTTTTAAATTGTAAAACTTAATGTTGGATTCTGTACACAAAACTAACTGGAGAACCTTGTAAAAAAGGCTGTGCGTTTTGTTAACAGCACTGGAGCTCATTCAACAAATACAAGGTGTCTGAACCCTTAGACTTAGCACCGAAGGCACTTCTTTTCAAACGGCTGGAAAACTGCAACTGAAAAAGAACGTGTGTAAATTAACACAAGGTTTCGGGTGGGGAGCCTTCTTCAGGTGTGGTGTGCGTCATATTAAAATAAGGTGTGCTCCACAGTCGAAAAGTGTTTCTTTTCTTCTCTTTCCAGAATGGAATAAGCCTAGACTTGCTCCTTTGCAAGCTCCCTACTTGAACTACCTGTGTAGATTAACTGTTGTTTTCACAGAAAACAGATCTGTCCACTGCTCTGTATTAAAATGTTTCCTTAATACACCTGAATTCTTCAGGGAGTGCGATGTTTTTTTCCCCGGTCACTTCTTAGGGCAAACGTGCCCCTACAGACCACACTCCCTGTGGGTGGAAGGTTGCCGGTTCAAATCCGGTGGCTGGCAGAGGAATCCTACTCCGTTGGGCCCCTGAGCAAGGCCCTTAAGTCCAGCTGCTGCAGGGGCGCTGTCAATGGCTGACCCTGCGCTCTGACCCCCGGCTTCTCTCCCTGTCTGTGTGTCTCATGGAGAGCAAGCTGGGGTACGGGAAAAGATATGGCTAATAAATTGATCTTATCTTATCTTTTAAATGTCTTAACCTACTGCTCTACAGCAGTCTTGCAATGAGCCAGAAACGACCAAATAAATTTCTAAATTCAGCCCTTGATTGTTTCACTGTTCAATCCCAACTGGACTTTCATCTTGATATCGATCATTCCAGGACTACCCTTGCATTGCTGAAAAATAAGTTTTTCCACAGTCCTGGTTGGGCATTGACAAATACCTACTTCAATGTCCACAGTCACTCGTCATATCAAAATAAGGTTCAGGGAAGGAGCTGTGTCCAGGAATAATTTTAAAATACATTTGGGAGTTTTAATGTGAGGGAATGCATTTGCAATAACACCGTCGTCTTCTTTTGCAAAACAGTAATGCATTCTTTCAGCCAGACCTCACTCTAATAGATGAAATGTGCCCAATTCATGACGTGCAATAGGACTCGAGTCTCTCAGACGTTAATAAAGCACGTTTCTCACAAAACAGCGACATAACCACCTTTAATTTTTCATAATTATGGGAGCGCTCAGCAAGGTACTGTACTAAAATAACTCAAGAACCGCAAGTTTTTATTTAGCTGGCATTCATACAAAAATACACTCCGTCCATGTAAGCGTTCAAAACGCGTGGTCTTAAACACAAACCTCCCCAGTTTCCCCAAGTCGTAAAACTGCGTAAATTAGTGCCGTCGTTATGGGTTCAGATTTATGCAGAAGCGAGTGGCGATAGTGGTCGTATGATGAAATAAAAATGCAAAAACAATTACTTACCTCTTAAAAACCATAACATCCTGAAATTTGGATTTCTGATGATACAAAACCTCTTCGACTTGAAGACTCAGCGCTTGACCCGGCCATAGCGTACATGTTTCAGTGAACCAACCGTCTTTCATGCTATCCATAATGTTTATTTAGGATTGAAACACTTAAAAAAACAAATAAAAAGCTTGCTTCAGATTCTCAACACAAGGAGAGACTAGAAATATCCTGCAAGCACCAAGTGAGCCTACTCTACAAATCGACCTAACTACATTAGTGAATGATGTACGTTATTCCCGACGAATCGAAAAGCGCCGAGGTTCTGCAGGAGAGCTGTAGCAGCCAGTCATACAGAAGAAGAGGTGGGGACAGCAGGAGAGCCGCCAAGATAGGTTGAAGATCAGCAGGAGCCCATGTGAAACAGCTTTTGAACGGAAGAGGTTCAATTCTGCGGGTTCCTCCGTCCTCGCGCGTGAACGGAATTGTGGGATACCATGAGTTCCGGTGCGCTGCTCTGGGTAATTACTCCTTCGTCTCCACTTCAAGCCATTCCAGTCTTTGTCAGACGACCACCCTGGTATAATCTGTCTAAATGCACTTCGGACCTAGTTTCCACTTTCCACTGAAGACGTTTACTGGGTTGGCTTTGTCAAAGCCTTTTTTGGACCTGAATACTTCAATAAGGTCGATGTTTTCAGTGCTCAAAACTAAAAAGGTTCAGCCATTTTAAGCAGCCAGTGTTGGGACTTTTTTTTTTTACTTTCAGCAGTTCCAGAGCAGCAATATTTTTATAAACAGGCAATCAAAACTGAACACAATATTTTAAATGAGGTTTCATCAATGACTTACACTGGTTTAAAAACCCTTTGATTTACCATTAGCTTTTTACTTGTCATATCTTTTGCTCCCACATGAGTTTAAAATGTAATGCAATTCTACCCTCATAATAAACTCTAAAACATGCTTATTCCTATTATTAGTTTCATCATAATTGCTGATTGTTGTTTAATTCAGGAACCCATCTGTAACATGTAGCAAAACTCCACATTATAAATGGTTATGTTTGTGTTGTGATTTAAATCACGGCCATAAAATTAAGGTTTGTATACAGGTATTTTGCTTTCTGTGTCTAAACAATTACACTTCTGGAACACTGAAGCCGATTGAATTAATGTTTGTATTTTCTTCTACTGCGGCTTCAAGAGTAATAAGAGAGACAAAACATTTTTTTGTAAAGCAGAAATGAGGTTGGACTTTTATTCAAGTTGTTGGTGTTGCAGTAGATCTATCCTAGCCTTGTGCAGTTGTGAAACTTACAATAAATTGATTAAAACTTGTAAATTAATATGCTCTATTAAGTGCACTTTATTTCTAAAATACCACCTTGAAACCAACTTGGAACCACAGAGAAGAGTAAATTTCAAGGTACCCACTTCCTATAACCAAGGGAAAAACTTTGAAAACAAAATGAAAAATGAAAAAAATCTGTGACCTGTGAAAATTTGCAGCAAAAAATCAAAATATTACAACATTCCCATGACTTTAATTTTTGAGCACACTAACCCTAACAGAAGGGTCAATGTTCCTAACAAAGACACAATAAACCACTGGGGATCCCGTTGTCAAATTTATTTTAAAAACATCTGTGAAAACAGTGAAGTAACGGGACTCATTCTTCACCAAAAACATGTCATGAACACCAGAACAACCAGAAGAGACCATCTCTCTTTTGAACAGTTAAGAGATATCCATAACCAGAGATGGACGCAATTGGCTGTTGGTCAACTGGTAAGTAATGGTCAGTTTAAAACCAAGTCATGTACAAATTCAAAATGTATAAATATGAAAAAGCTTACAGCTCCCTCAAGAAGCTTTTTTTACTATAACTATACGAATATCAGTATCCAAGAAACTGTCCGGAATAATCAAAGCCACAGACCAACATCCAAGGCCTGTTACTTCCAGTACAATATGGTCTTCGTTGTCTTATCTCTTAGGCCAATTGTGCCTAAATCCTCTGTGAAGAAAAAAAAATGAACACGTTATAAGAGCACAATTAGATGAAAGACTACCACAAAAAGGTTTTTTCGGAGTCCATCGTTACCTCTCCGACTTGCCCGCCAGGTAAGACATGCTTTTGTTCCCTGCAGAATTCATCCTGTGCCCTTTGGGGTTTTTCTGAAACAGGTTTCAGTGTGATACAATTATTACCCTTTGGAGACCACCTCCTCTAAAGCAGAATTACACACAGCAACAAAATGTGAATCCTAGTGCCTTCAACCTAAAGACAAGAGGCACAATAAAGACTTCTTTCCCTCTGTTCCTTCTCCATGTAATTTTTTCCTAGCGTCTCTGGTGAAATGTGTTTAAAGGTTAATGCCTTCTGATTTGAAATTCCCATCCAGGATACTGTATAGTTGCGAGATTCTCTTAAAATACAATTCTCGAGAAATTGACAAATTTAAAGGTGAAAATAAATTGAAATGAATTGTGCATCTAGCTGGAACCTATCAAAGGCATTTTCAGAAACCAAAATAGAAACAGTAAACTGTAACGGCTTCTACTGACCTATAAAGCAAATGCAATTATACTGAACACAGAACACGATAAAGAAATGTTTTACCTTTCGTTTGGGCTCCTGAGCTTGCTTGTTCGGATCAAACTGTGTGCTTTCCTTGGATTTACCTCCTGAAACAACCAGAGTACATGCAAATCTCATCAGCACCTCATAAAATGTAGAGAAACAGTGGGGAAAACATAAGCTCACATTCTAAAACGCGTCTGGCACAGCTCTGGGTTAACATCGATACTGCCCACCACAAGCATTTCCTGCAAGCAGAATCAGAGTATCTATCCAACACTGCACAGAATTCCAAAAATCCATTAGGAACAGCCCAACGAAAAGGAGGCAAATATTAAATCTCATCCTCACAAGAGGTGTCATTGAGAGCTGCCAACTACACTAACATCAAAGGCATGATAAATACTGTTATCTTCTCCCACGTCTTGGGAGTTATAAGTGATTCTGATCACCTTGTTTTGAAGCTTGATGTTGGGATGCAGGAAGCACACACGTTTAAATTATTTATTTTACAAGTCAATTAGTAAAAACAGTATTACCGATATGTGGATACTGGTGAAAATGTTTTTGTTTCCTCCTTTACAACTTACACGTCCAATGCACAGCATTCAATACCTTCATGGATGATTGGTGCAATTACATTTTTGATGTCCATTAGAAACTAAAAACAAATCGTTCATGACAACCATGAATATGTCTGTTGACACCAATTTTTTTTAAAGGTGAGGACTAAAAAAGACAGACCGTTCCAGTATAAATTAGGATTGAACGGTTCATGTGCGACTTCAAACATACACTGAAAGAGCCATACCGGCAAAGACTTTGAAATCCGACTTGCTGTAGTCGAAGGGCTTGAAGTCGGCCGGTACAGGAGCGCCCTGCTGCGCTGGCTGCTCAGTGGCTTTGGGCCGCTTCCTCTCGGGTTTGGGAATCTCCGCACCGGACTCGCTGGGATTCGGCTGACGTTTCTTCCCTTCCTGCTCAGCCGCTGCCATCTGAGGACAGGAAAAGAGGAGCTGAGCTTCCCTGTGTGCAACTGCTTTTTCATACATCAGGATTTATATATATATATATTTGAGATTTTGATTAAATTTGATGTAATACTCTAGCACGGATGGTCTCCGTAGTTCTGGACAGCGGAGAAATGTCTCAAGAGACAATTACCCTCAAATCCAAGATTACCAGCTTATTAAGACTTGCAGAAACAATTACAATGATCGCCTCAGGGTGATTTAATGTTATTGTTCCTGATGGTTTACTGGAAGTAGACCGAAGAGGTTTTAGAGGGATTCTTGGCTGCAGGAGGAAAAACATGAAAAGCTGTGCTGTTGCCCACTTTTTATGATTCTTTCAAGGACAGTAAGAAGTGGTAGCAACTAAGAAGTCTCACATCTAAAAAGTCACACCTTTACACTTTTCAGTTTATCAAGCTTGCAGGCACAAAATGCTTCTGGATTTCAAGAAGATAAAAATTACCACTCACCACCGCTTGCTGACGAACAGTCACAACATTTTGAAGAGATTCTTTGTAATTTTTCTGTGCTTTCTTCCTCTCTTCTGAAAAGCAAAACAGAAATTCAGAATGTGAAGTGGCCAATGAGACATAAACAGAAGGGTTTAGTCAAGGGGACGGCATACAGTCCTACTGCATAATATGTTTTGACCTGGCTTTGCCATTTAGATCAGTTTTAATCTATACAACTTTATAGTGTGTAGTCGTGAATTGAAATGAGCATACTAGAAAATTAAATTTTAGCACTAGGTAAAGTCCCTTCAAGGCTAATATGGTCTCTTACATGAAGACGGCCATCTGAAAGGAGCTCCAAGTCAATAAGACATTTGTCCTGATCCCAGATATTTTATTAAATACATATAACTAATTTCTTGCATCTATGCGGTGCTTTGCAATCAAAAAGCTCACAAAGGAAGGGACGCACGAAATTTATCACTGAAGCAGTACCCCGACTTGAGAGAGGTGGGGCAGCCCTCAATTAAATTTAACGGGGATAGCAGAGCTAAAACTCCTACATTTAATGACCAAGTCACAGCAGCAACCTGGCCGATCTTTTAAAGTCTTCCCACCTCAGTACAGATTAGGCATAGCCTGCCGAGATCGATACACAAGGCTTCAATTCTGCAGAGCACAGATTAGAAGGCCTTTTGGGCACTTCTACACAAGGGATCTATTGGCTCAGTGAGCTGTGTGTAACAGGAGAACATTAACCTCGTCATGATTAACAATACACGGAGGACAGCAGGGCTTTCCTCCCTCATGCTGGGTGTGTACCTGCAGCTTTCTGGGCTGCTTCTCGGGCCTTCTTCCTTGCCTCTTCTTTTGCCTCTGCATCCTTCTTCTGCTGCTCCTGGCTTAAGAGCTTCCACCTGTTACTGATCTAACGCACACAAATCAGGACAGAAGAAAACAATGTTTTATAATCCAGTACCAGAAGGGGGGAGGGGGGGAACATACAATATTTTGCAATGCAAAAACCGTTTTAAGAAAAAAAAAACTCTGCCGGCATCATATTACTTTAGAAGCATGAGAAAATCATATAAAATATAGTTTAAGCCACAGTTTATAGCTCTGAGCACAGGTAGGCCAACACATACGTAAACTGATAAAAACGCAGACTTACACTAACATATGCAGACAGTCATTAAAAAATGCCAATTACTTGCCTTTCATACTTAAGATTTCTGGGGCTCTGGACAAAAATGCATCGTCACCTGACTACAGCACTACACTGCCACTTCCACATACCTCGTACACTTTTGATGAAGGGTCGTACTTGGCGTTTTCCGAGAGGTGGATGTTATTATCCTTAGAAGGCAAGTACTGGAGCAGGAAAAAGAAAGAATTGATGAAAAGAAGAAACAAATATAACTTGTATAAAAGCGACAGTTCAAGTAACTAGTTTAAAAAAAAAAACACTACAGCAAGTTACCATTCTGAAGGGATTTTCAAACGACGCCAGTATACTGTGAGCCTTCTGCTGAGCGACGGTGAGATAACCACTCTTCTCCGTGTCTGTGCCAGAGTGCTGGAAGGAAACATTTTCAACCTATTTTAGAGGATCAATGGAATTTGTATTTGAATATCTGTTTGCTTGTCTTATCAGATGCTGGTGAAAAGATAAAAGAGTAATATACCTCAAATACCCCAAAAAGTTTTGTTGAGGATACAGCACTTATGAAATAATTTTGCAATTGAAAGGTTTTTACAATCATGACCCATAATGAAAGAATGAAAAAATCTGCAACTGCTGTATATTATATATACACACATATATAAATTTAATATATTTGTTGTATATTTTATATATTACAAATACCCAGCACTAAAAGTTACTATTTAACCACATTATGGAAGGTATCAGAGTGATTGCTGGGATCTATTCATTGTTCCTTTACCAAAAGGCATGTTAAGACAGAATAAAGCCCCTTTTAACTACTGCAGCAAGTCATTTCCTTCTATAAGGTGTTAAGACTTGAATCTCATTTCAAAGAACAGGACACTCAAAGTGCGAGACTTCTGTTACATATCAAAGGACAAGACCAACACAAACATCGTAAAAAGACGTAATTACATATTGAATAGGACAATAGCACTCAATGTGAGAAACTCAGTTGAGCTGGCAGCCCAGTGTGTGATCTCCTGTCACAGCCTGAGGAACAGTGTCTGTCTCCCAATAATGCTCAATATGTTTACAGTATATGTAAATATTTTATGATACGTCTTTGTTGTAAATGTCTGGAATATATCTGTAGATTTTATTTTACTTTTATTTTGTGTTAATTTTATTATTTCTATTTGCTTTGGCAACACTGATTGTGCCGGTGATGCTAATAAAGCACCTTGAATTGAAATTGAATTGAACAAACTTCTTTCTAAGCCTGTACTGTATAAGAGAGATAAGATAAGATCACTTGATTGGCCATATACAGTTTCTTGTATTAGGAATTTGTCTTTTCGCATACCCCAGCTTGCTCTCCACGAGAGACTAAGGTGGGGACAGAGAAGCCTGGCGCCAGAGCGCAGGGTCAGCCATTTATACGGTGCCCTTGGAGCAGATGGGGTTAAGAGCCCAATGGAGTAGGATTCCTCTGCCGGTTGCGGGATACGAACCGGCAAACCTTCCAGCCACAGGCACAGCTCCTTAGCCACAGAACCACCGCATGTAAGAGTTGGTCAATCCTTGCAGCGCAGGGTGCCAAGTTGCTGTACTTATTGGGCTCGATTAAAATTGAAACCACACTCCTGCTCTTCTGATGAAATATTTTCCACATCGCCCACGGCACACTTTTCATTTAAAGGGCCTTACTTCAAAGATGGTGATCTTGGCGGAAGCAAGCAGAGAGCTCCAATCGTCAGAAGCTCCCGTCTCCTCAGAGAACAGCGCCCCTTGCTTCACTGGAGCTCCTGTAGAAGACAAACAGGACTGAGATGGGCAGAACCGCTCATGAGCTCTGAAACCCAGCGGAGTGAGAAAGTGTCTTACCATGGGAGGTGAAATCTGGGAAGTCATCCTCAGAGACATGAGAATCGTCATGAGGGCCAAACAACACGTTCTTGGACTGTTCAGCACATGAAAGAACAAGAAACCCAAACGTCAGATGAGGACAAAAAGGAACATTAAATCATTTTGCTCCATATTAACGCAGGCTTATACAATTACATATTTTAGATGCTGAATTGGAGAATTATCCAATTATCGCATAACAATGACAGTTCAGTCTTAATTTTCACCACCCATAAATCTTACCACAATCAGAAGAAAAACTCAACAGACCTTTCTTTTGAGAGTAAATCCTTTTTTCTTTTCTGAAGTCACAGGTTCTGTCTGAAGGGGGGGAAAAACATTTTTAAACGTACATAAGCATATTAAATAAACTACGGCATGACAAAGCACAGAAAGAACAACTACCAAAAAAAAAACTTCACAGGCTACGCCGAGAATAAATTTTGCAGGCGGCACGTCTTTCAAAGCATTTTAGTCATTACACGGGTCTATTAAACGGTCAGGCTGGCCGACGTTTAAAAACAAGCCTTGATGATGATTGAAAGTTTTAATAGCCAAGTACATTGTTCTGTACAAAAATGAGGAAAGTGCACACCAAGACAACCGAGCGAACACACATGATGCTGACGATTTGGATTTCTCTTATCGGCACGGTAAACTATGGAGACATGAGACCACGAGGTCCCGTACGAGCTGATGTCCGACACGGGCAGTGTGCTTGTGTAGGGGCAGGTTCTTACCTTGAGCAGGGGCGTCTCCCGGGCCTGCTGCACCAGGAGGTGCAGCTCATTCACCTGCTGGCGAACCAGAGGCGGCACCGGGTTGCAGCAGGCAATGATGCCCTGGGGTTCTCTGGGAAACAAAGCGAGGCCAGTGAACACCCCGGTTGCCACCCGGCGGCTTTTGTTTCCTTGGCAATTCTTCCTTTGGACCAGGTTCCTTATTCCCCCTTTTGGGCCCTTTCCCCCCTTGACAGGAGGGGATTCTGACTGCCTGAACAGGCTAGATTTTTTCAATTCACCTACAAATCATTTTTGTTTTTATTTAAGGCCTTTCAGAATTTGTTCTGTTCACATAAAGCATGAAATGGTCTGTCTCCAGATTAATTTTACATACTTATTACGTGAGCAAAAATCAAGCTCCAGGATCTGCACTTTTGGCTTCCATGCAGTCTTTTCATGCACAGCACTGTGACTGTGGAAACGTCTCATGTAGCGGGGCAGCAAGACTTAAACTCTTTCAAAATCTGTTTAGACCCAGCTTTCGACTGAAGCCTTTAATGTGCAATCTAGCTTTATTCTTGGTTTCACAAAATCATTCTTCTGAGCCCCCCTGCACCACTTTTTTTATTTTGTTGAGAGTATTAGAAGTGGGCTACTGAACTGTGCTTTATCGTTTCCTGGAATCAAATTAATAATAATATAATGGTGGAAAACGACAAACACAGAAGATCTGATCAGACTTACCTTGGCAGCTCTTCTGAAATTTTAATCAGCATGTGGTTAGGCAAGACATACCTGGGACACGGAAGATGGGACAGAAAGACAGAAACGTATTATGTGATGTGTTTGCAGGCTTGATCTGATGGTGCTGAAACAAAACAGGTTCTAAAACTAATGAACATTCGTACGGCTGGAGCAGCACCTTTTTTTCTGCTAACACGATCAAAGAACAAAACATGTGCTCAAAGGATTAAAAAAATAATATTAATTTCATCCCAGTGCATTACTGCAAAGCACATGACTAAAACAATTCAGCCGACTCCATTATGCTTTTGCACGCAGCCAGCAACGTCACCAACAGGTTCTCAACCACCAACAGATTCATCAACCGAGACAAATCTGGTTTAAAATCCTAATAAAGAAAAAGCAGAGGATGGATGCCCTGAAGGCTTGCCATGTGGACAGGCAGTGGCCCCGGCACACGCTGATGCCAGGAGCACAGGGCGGTGCCCTTCATCGCCTGTGGAAAAAAGCGCTCCTGTACCCCGTGCTCTCGTCTTCTTGTCGGGCCAGCTTGTCCCTCCAGGCGAACAAGAGGCGCAAGGCTGCCAGCTGCTGCACATTGAACATCCGCTTCTGCTTCCTGTACAGCTCCAGATACGACTCCTCCGTGAAGATGGGCTTGGTGTATTTCTGTAGCGGGTCAAGTAAGGCCTGTTACACGCTGCGCCGAGCTTCGCGTGGTGTGGGTCAAAGAACGCACACAAAACAAACCAAGATAAACCTGCGCACGCTTCAAGAACCGCGGATAACGCTAAACTGTCAATGTCAGAGGGACGAGAAAGCACCAAACGCAAGGCTGAAAAAATTAAGATAACTCTCAGCGAAAGGAAAAACAGAACTACTTTTTCTAAGCAAACAGGAGATGGCATTAAAATTAGCCCTGCTTCAAAGTGTAGAGTGACCTAAAATGAATCTTTCATGAATACTGTAAGCACTCTACCTTGAGTGCAACGTCCCTGCTCTTCTGCCAGACCATCTGCAAGAGGGCCGGCTGCTCGTTGCCACACTCATACAGCTCCTTGCACAGGCGGTCATACACATACAGCAGGTAATGGGTGTCTGCACGGGCGTACTGGAACATCTCTTCCGGCAGCGGTCTGGAAACACAGAAGCACACTAATGGCACCCGGGCTTGCAGCACCCCGTTTTTCACTGGTCTTGCACAGAAAAAAAAACGCAGAGTGCTGCAATTTCAAAGCATGGGAAGAGAACACTGAGGACCTGGAATTACCTTATTCGCCAGTCTGCCAGCTGGTACTGTTTGTCAGAATCGACGCCACAGTACAGCTTTAACAGGTGGTCCAGGGAATGCCTGCCTAGGTTGAGCACACGCGCAGCCTGGTGAGTGTCAAACATGTTCACAACATACAGCCCAAAATCCTTCTGTAGCCACTCAATATCCGAGTCAGCGCCATGAAAAACCTTGAAGAAACAAAGCAAAGACACCACTTTAAGGACCATGTTAGAAACCAACCCTCAACACACCTACCAACCACAAAAAATACAAAC